GGAAGAAAAGTGTTTTTTTATTGACCCCCTATTCATAGGGTGACGTAAGCTCCGACAATTGGCGATGCTTTTAAGCGAAACATTCGTAAAAACTCCCCTTTTTGAGTAGACCAGTATCGATAGTCCAGCAACGAGCACTTTTGCTCTCGAAGAAGGCCGATTAAAAATAATAGACATGTTGCACGCTATCCTTCTCAAGTGGCGTGCGCTTTAGCAAGGACGAACAGAGACCAGAAAAAGACGGGAGTCAAACCGATCTTTGTTTGGAGTTCTTGACTTATGGAGGCAGCAGTGCAAACCTCCCTTGAGTTTCGAGATACCCGAATTGGAGTGGAGGCAATGTTAATAAAAGACCGCTTTGGAAAGGGACTATCAGCTACACCCACCACCATCTGTAGCTTCCGTGAAGAATGACCACGAACTAATTTTTGAGCATTTACGTAGGAAACGTTTGAATAAGTTTTTAAATAGCTCCATTATAAGAATGCTGAATTATGGGCAAGCGACTGGACCCCACGCTATCCTTGAACCTGCTGCACGCATTCCAGTCTAGTGATACCATTACGCCATCGTGACAGCCTCCTACCCGCTCAGCTTAATGGCTTGCCATAGCCTTAGCCTATGATCTCGCTCGGAGTCGAGTCTTCTGTCCGTAAATTGTTCGAGCCCTGTAGGGCTATGACACAAAAGGCGCTAAGCTGAGAGGGTGAGAGCGGCCTCGATGGGGTAACTGGTAACGCACTTGTCCAGAAAGCATTACTTGTGGGTTAAAACCCACCCTGGAGTCAGTTATTTTTATCCATATTTTAGCATTCGGTACCACCTTTACTGCCCCAATCTTCAAGCAGGCCAGTTTTCGACCAGCTTTTTGCTGCGTTGGCAGAAAAAGCTGAAAACTTATTCCCATGGACATTTTGACCTCCAAAAGACATTGTCAGTGTAGATTAGTTCTCCGATGGTCATACCCCTTCCGCACTCAGTACACTGCTCGTCTTGCCGAACTACGCCTAATGAACTTGAAATATTTTAAGGCAGCGGGCACGATGGCTGTAGGGGAGGGGAGTACTGCCTAAGTTATCAGGGGAGGACTGCGAGACGACGCTTTTCCATGCCTCACTCGGCCCTTTCACCGCTTACGTTGCCAGTGTAACCGCCCACCCCCAGCCATCGTGTGCACTGCATTTGAGCTTTGTAGAGATTCAAAACAGTAAAAGGGGCGAATCTCTAGAGTCTGAACACAGCTTTCTTCTTCTCAGACCAGATGAACACTTCACTTACCCGATGTTCCGAAGTGGCAAAACGGAAGAGTTTAGCCCCGTGGTGCTGAGCACGAAGTAAACGAATGATGCCAAAGTTGAGGTAGAAACACAGGACGAAAGGCAGAATGATTGTGATTATGCTCCGGAACCAGAACTGAAAGGGAAAACCAAAAAAATTCCAATCCAAAAAACGCAATCCGTTTTTTTCAATGACAAAATTAAATGTGAAAATTGAAAAGGAACGTCAGAGTTAATCACGTGTTAGTGGATTAAAAGTAATGGACACTTAGAGCAGGGAACTAGGAAAAGATAGAAACAAAAGAGACAACGATGAGCGAACTCATTGGAGATGTAATTATGCAGACAGAGGCACAAAAAAAGGCAAAGGTAGCCAACCTTATAAGCGGTCTTGTACGGTTCCGTCTCACTGAATTCGCTTACGGTGGCCGTCAAGGATGTGATACCCGTACAGTTACCATTCGGGACAACCTAAAACTACTCGAGGTCTTTCAACATAAACAGTTGTCTGATTGGAACTATTCACGGTGGTGCAAATGAGCCCCGTGAGTATAACCATTGAGGCTGCACACTGGAGAGCGTCATGACTTCCTGCTACTTCGAAGTACATCGGTAGCTTGGCGAATCAATCGGCAAAGACAAGGGCCATAAAGCAGATGGCGAGTCGATGATGACGAGCAAATTGATTACGGATTTTCGAGATGGTTATGTACCTTAAGTAAGAAACTTCGTAGCATTGAATGAGTGCAATGAGTACTAGTGAGTCGTTCCTTCATCGAACTCGGTGGCAAATATGTCACGAGAATTCATCCAAGCTCATGAAAGAGGCCCACTGGGGACATCTCAAAAACCAGAGTCATCTCACTGTTGAAAGAATACAACCGCTGCCCTACTTACCACTGCCCCACAGTCCAAATTATGGTTCGACCTATTTTTCGTACGCTGGTATTTGCATTTCTTCTTCCGGATAACTTTGTTCCCCTCCCCTGCCAAAGTTGCCGGTTTTGGGACAAAATTCCTCACAAATCTCTAGCTTAAGAGCCTTGTTGAATTTTGCAACCCTCTGCACCCGTTGAGTCAATGGATCTTCATCTTGGAAGCATTCTGTGGGTCTCCATCTCCGAAAAAAAGTTCTCACCTCTCAAAAGCTGCTGCAACGATCAGAAACGCCGATGCGGAAATGAACACGTGCGATATAGTGAACATTATTCGCATGTATGACCACCACGCCATTGCCAATATATCTGAGGCGAAGTAGTCCATGTAGAGATTGACGGGAAACAGCAGAATATAAGCAGCTGAAAGAATTCATTATGGAAACTGTAAATCTCATTTATGCAGACGAAGCCTCTCCTATTAAGACTTTGAACGCAGCGCCATTTCTGATATGACTACCATCTGACAAGGGAGGTGTTTCAGGTCATGACGCGCTTTTTGGAAATGGTCACAAAAATGGGTTTCATTTTTGCTATGCGTTTCTGGGTAGGTCAAAAACTGAGTGAAAAGAATTTGACAAGAATGGGCGGTTTTAACAACCTTAATGGGCTCCGTTCTGCTTGTAACTTCGAGCATGCATAGTTTATGAGGTGGTCACTAATTAGGCCTCAAAATAGATTCGATTAAAGTCAAAATGTAAGTATCATGTGGTAACACACTTGGCATGCACCGACGCAAGAGATGTTTTTGTCAGCGCTCCCTTCATGACCATTGCTTGCGGATCAGATGGCGTAGCGGATAGCACGATGGGTTCTGTATGGCACGACAATGCGGGACTCGGTTCGGATCCTCATTGCGGCAACAGTTTTGCATCTGTATCAACGCAACGAGACGTGAACATTTCCGGAAACAAGGTTCTCCACACAACTGTGCTGGTTTGTAAGGTGTCATCCAGGAAGGACAGCCTGGCCATTTGCAGTGAGTGCATATCATTGTACTCGTCTTGACACAATGAACTCGAAACTACCTTCAAAATTTGCGGAACGATTCTCTGAGCGGAGTTATGGAGGTTTTCCTTCACTGTTTTTCTTCTTGCGGGTGGGCTGGCGCAGTGAATTTGCACCTGTAGCGCGACTCACAGCTCTCTCCGTGCGAAATAGATATCATATTCGTGTTCAGGGGGTCAAACAACCTCTAGAAAAGAAACCTTGAGGAAATCCGAGGTTCTGACTCAACTTCGAAAAAATGGGGTAGAGATGGTCGCGCCTGGATGATAGCCAATAATCCGACTAGCATACTGGTGATGACTGGTCTTTGCACTGAAATAACCCTTCAGTCATGTCTTTTCGCAAAGAACAATACCTGGCTCACTTGTTCGTGCCGCCTGCATCATTTTCCTGATTACCGGTAGAAAATACCATCCCAAGACCAGTCATCCATGGTGGGTGGACCCCTGCTGCCAAATGTCCATAGAATGGCCCACATTTTCCAAGTAAGGTCGAAACGTCAGACTTGGCTAGAAATTAGTCCCCAGGGGTAATCCAACCCGCTGAACATAAATGTGATGGTATTTCATTGCAATAACCCTTCTGACATGAACTACGAGGGGCAGCACAAGCACGCTTTCTGGCCACAATGTGGCCACAAGTATATGCCTTCAAATGGCATATACTTGACTTATTTCTACTGCCAGACACACAGGCACGCGAATAATGAATGGAAAGCTGAAAAATGCAAAACGTTTTCCGCGAGAAGGATCCGATCCACAAAGTGCCCCCTTGCCGTGCCATCCAGAACCCGTCGTGTTATCCACTGCGCCATCCGATCCGTTTGCAGTGGTGGTGAAGGGTTTGCTGACAAAAACATCACTCTTGCGTCGGTGCATGCCAAGTGTGTTACCACATGATACTTACATTTTGACTTTAATCGAAATTTTGAGGCCTAATTAGTGACCACCTCATAAACTATGCATGCTCGAAGTTACAAGCAGAACGGAGCCCATTAAGGTTGTTAAAACCGCCCATTCTTGTCAAATTCTTTTCACTCAGTTTTTGACCTACCCAGAAACGCATAGCAAAAATGAAACCCATTTTTGTGACCCTTGTATGGACCCCTACAACAAGCAACAAACCATTTCCAAAAAGCGCGTCATGACCTGAAACACCTCCCTTGTAAGTGTTTCTGTCCATGTGCTGCATGGGATCAGTCCGTGTGCATTGCTGGCAATGCACAAACACGCGAAATGCAAATCTTTCTGCCATTTGCGCACAGGGTACAGCATCGTTGTGTGAAGCACATAGGAGGGTCGTACTTTCGCTGGGGAGAGGGGGTTCGTATTTGGTCGTTGGGAGATAGGGGAGGGTCGTATGTGCCATTTAGCGAGATTTGCTGGGTTCGGAAAAGTTCAAAGAAATTTTTCCGGGTTGTTGATTTTTGCGCGACTTTTCATGTTTCATGGGTACAGAGTACCCATGAAACATGAAAACCCCCCATCCCCGCTCGACAGCAAAATTCTCGGGTAAACGTAGGGAAGTTTTCGGGAAACTGAAAAAGTGGTAGGAAGTTAGCGAGAGTCCAAGAAATTTTCTCGCTTCGTTGGCTATGTGCCCTCCCTCCCCCCCCCCGCTCTTCCCGCGAAGGAAAACTCTCTGGGTGAAAACTGTGGTGTGGGAACTGGTGATGTGGGAAATTAGGTAGGTAGGAGACTGAAATTGGCTGTTGGGGAAGAGGTGTCAGATACCTTGCCTTAGAGGGGGGAGAAGTCGTACCAGGATCCTTTTCCCCTAGGGGGAGGGGTTCTACTGACACCACCATTTCACACATCACGATGCTGTACCCTGTTTGCGCACTTTTGCGCCGGATTATCTAGGCCGACTTTTATGGCCCAACTTTGTCTTGTGATAATAGAGGAGTGGGTTGTTTACGTGGTGGTGATTTGTTTTCATTACTAATGTGACACTCATTTCGAGCAATAACCTGCCAGTATGGCGCGAAATCGATCTATTATGAATGCAGTTGCAACCATCAAGACATGAAAACTCCTATTTGCAAGGAATCATTCCCTATGTTTTCGGGCCAAGGCCGTACAGACGATTGCATGTGAGCGATTGCTTCAATGCCATTTGGGCAGGAACTTTCTACAATTTACATCACCGCAACTGTCGGGTCGCAATCAGCGGCTCGCACCTGCGGCGTTTCCATCATTGGTTGCTCCTCCCTAAATCGATCTTTACCCGATCGCCATTGGTAGAGCAACGAGGCCGAACGCCCATTTGGACCGCGTTGCACAGCCGCCCTCCGACAGTCCGCAATGATGAGGACTGTATGGTACACAAATTGTGCTGAATCTTTTGTAAGCAGATGTGTTTCTAGGTAAGAACATCCATTAGAATATGTGTGATAGCTCTATGGTTAATTGTTTGGTATGCATTAGCTATGATGCGCATTGTGGAGACGTCCCTGCGCACTCTTCGTATCCCAGAAAGCGAGAGGACGTGCATACTTATAGTTAGTTTGAACGTTTTGCTGCTGCCCTTTTTGAGGGATACTGCTACACTTGTGATGATTAAGCTGTCCAGCATACGACAGGGTTACGATTGCCCTCATGGAAATATCCCACAATAAGCATCCCACGCCATGTTCAGATGAGGTACGCAGCCACGCCCTGCCCATGGTCGGGATATGGAAGGTGCGTACGTACTGACGCGGGGCAGTTGGTCTCCACCAGTAGTTGCTCTATGAGGCTAGCAGCCATAAATGGAAAGAGGCTGAGCTGCGCCCAAACGTACACTGCACATCCAGAAGATGTGAGGAGGCGTCGCTGCTAACACCATTTGAAGACGGCGTAGCATCTTCGTGAGCTATTCCCATTTTGGCCCTCTGTCCTTCTGTTGCTAACTGGACAATACATCAGTACAATCGTTCAGTACAATCGTTCCAGAACGATAATATTCTACCAGAAGCGCAGCAGCCGACACACTCTAATGAACTATGCAGGCCCACCCTCTAGTTCCGGGATGTGAGTGTGCATGCAGAAACGATAGATAAATAAGTAATATTTTGACATTTGGTTAGGTAGATCCCTCCATCATCAACGACCCGCTCCCAGTGCCCCGAAGGCGTGCGGACCACTGGCATCTCGTTTTCTCAACAAGTGTGGGTAATTCGCTGTTGATGAAATGACAAATGACAAAACGTTGAAGCGTCTGCCGTCGGAGAGTACCTTTGACTGAGTGGAACACTTGAACTGGCACGGCTTCACATATGTTGGGCAAACGAGGCGATTGAACCCAGGTCTCAGTATTGTTTGTGTCCCAGCACTGCCCTACAATACAGTTACTCGGGGTCTGGCACTATGACGAGCAACGGTGGCCTTCTTGTAGTTGTGTGGTACCATCCATTTGTCGATCTGATTGCCGAGGAACAGGCAATACACCGACAGCGACGATTTTATTCTCTGTATAGAGCCGCCTGAAAGCCACAGTGTGGGAATCCTTCGCTATGATGATCATCCACTTGCGCCCACGTAACTCCTCATGGTAGAACTCGGACGGCTTCTCAACTGCATTCATAGAAAAAATGACGCTTGTAAGCTAAGACGGAGTCCAAGACTACCCACACTTCATCTAGGGCCGGTAGGCATTTTCACAGTCGTGAATGACATCTTATGCGGAGAACATTACTGCTACAATCATAGAATTGGTACTGGGTTCTGTGCGTCCTAGGACTAGAAAATTAGACACCCATACGTACACCCTCTACCATCTAGGACAACAATTTTTTTCTTTCTTCCTTCTTCGGGCTCCTGAACCAAATCTTCCACCTTGTATTTCGAGAACACCATTACACACAACTACTGGTCCGGCGCAGGTCAAATTTGAGCAGCGCACTTTTCCCTTATGACGCCTAATTGGAACACCCGGCGCGTGGCTAGGTTCATCAAATTTCACAGATACATAGCTAAAAGTACTAGCTTCCAAATGGTCCGCAGCCTAGTCCCTTTGCTTTTCTGCCATTCCTCTATATGTCTCCTTATTTTTGCATTTGATACTAAAAAACCTAATACTTTCCTTCCTATTTTGCATCACATATATACTTTCCTTCCTATTTTGCCCATAGGAGGGTGGGTGTGTGGAGACCTCCAGTACAGGGCGGTCGTACAGACGGGAAATTTTTCTCGACGTCACGCTTGATTCCTGGTGCGATGCCTGGGTGGGTGTAGCAACGTGACTAGGTTCCGCATAAAGTAACGTTCGTATAGAAGAGAGAGAAACTAGATTTCAAAGCAGGCGATCCGATTGTGTGAAGCGTTCTGCGGCGAAAAGATCAGCCATGGTACTTGCAAACGATAGAGCGTACGACGGGGCGCGGATCGCAGCGCAGCTAAGATTCCGCCACACGCCCTATCTTTCGTAGGGATCATGGCTGCATATATAATAGCTCGAAGCAACATATCTGTGGCTATTTATAATTCGGCTTCCTTACGAGCTTTCAAACTAACGCCTCCAGGTGGCCGCCATAACCAGAGAGATCTGTCGTTTCCGCTCTATTCCTTGATGATGATATTTTTCGCGATCAGTGATAGCATGACAAACGCCAGCTTTCCTCCTTCGAACTAAACAAACAGAATAGTTCCCTCATTCCGCTGCTTTCCGATTTTTTCGTTTAGGTTTCTCCTTTACTCAGCAGGCCAACCAAATTTAGCACCCACTTTTTCTCTAAGCGCCAATTCAGAAACAATCGACAACTAATTTCTGAAGGAAATTGGAAGGAAGCTTTTTGAAAAGAGAAAAAATGAAAATTGAGTTGAAGTCAATGAAAGAAGAAAGAATGCTACCGTTCATCGTAAACGTTATTCGATTTGCTGACAACTTGTAGAGTTTCTTCATGTTCAAGTGTATCCGCACTTCCCGAAAAGCTTATGAATCCCATGAAATGCCAGCAGTGACCTGTCGCATAATATTATCTCAAAGCCTGCACACACAACTCATTTGGCCACCCGCAAGGACTGATTGTCGCTTCTTATTAGTACTCTTTCCCAGATACATACGGCCAAAGCTCGACAGTGGGTGGCTCGAGAGCTAGTCAAAAGTACACCATTCAAGCGAGAAACTAATTGCTTCTAGCCTAAGCATCAGAGGAAGAAAATGTTTCCATCAGTACCGGTACCATGACCGTATAGTGGAGTGAAGGAAAAACCGATCAATCTCAAGAAGATATGAAGACCTGCAAATGAATCTATCAGGCCGTAGCCTGACTAATGACCGTATATAATATAACACGACCTCCCAGAAAGCTCACGATCCCAAAACTGAGTTATTTTCCATATCAGTTGGGTAGAATTAGATTACCTGATAGAAATGTATCCGAAAAGGCGAGAAACGTCAAATAGATCAGACTAGACGACCGATGCCGCTTGTTCCGTATCAGAACGCAGAAAAGGAACATGTTGAACACAACCGATATAGAAGCGACTATAGCACCGGCGACACCGACCAGTATAAGCCTGAAAGAAGTAAGGTGTGAACAAGGTACAGCATCGCTGTTGCCG